AATAAATTGAGCAAATAAAATAAGATGAACCAATAAAGTATAAACATTCGAAAATTCACAAGAAAACAGACTAATGATCCAAAGCATCGAGAAATTAAAATGACAAAGATATTTAAAGAGAAGAAAATAGAACTAATTATCTAAGTAAAAATTCTAAGATTACTGACTAAAATAATTCTAAACTAATTACAAATTCTAAAGTTATAAGAATAATTCTAAAATTACTACACTAGATCTAAACTAAAATTAAAATTTGATATTAGCAAATTAAATCTAAGCTAAATTAAATTCTAAGGTTACTAAATTTAATCTAAAACAAATAAAAATTCTAAAATTCACTATATTAAAAAAAACAGAAATTCTAAAGTTGTTAGGTTAAATCTAAATTAAATTAAAATTCTAAAGTTTACTAATTAAACTAAAATTAAAATTACTACAATAATTCTAAAATTAAAAATAATTAGTTCTAATTAAAAAAAGGAAAGTTTTTTTTGTAATTTTATATGATTATACTAACCAACCTAATATTAAATCTAACTTACTCTATACTTTTCAAGTCACTGGATTAAATCTGAAACGAAACTTTAATGTTAATAGATTAAAACTAAATCGATTAAAAAACAAAAGGGTAATGTGAAAACAGAAAATAAGGGTGGTGATATCAATCAATTTCGGATGGGCTTACTGATTAGGATATAGCCCAAGATAGAAGTAATATAAAATAAAAAGAAAAACTAAAAGCAAAAAAAACAAAAGTTATACCGGGCCGAACCGGGTCGGGTCCGGACCCGCTCCTTTACTAAAAGGCCATGGGTTAAATGAACCCTAAAATGGCAAAGGCCATCAACGCCTCTCCCTCTCACTGTTTTGTCCTCTCTTCTGTTCAACACAAAAAAAGAAAAAAAGGAACCAGTCTAAATACCCTCTCTCGCCGTCATCTCAACCAAAGCACCAGCCAATACTCCCTCCGCCGCTTCGTCCTCTCTTCCTGATCAAACTCAACTCCGCATCACCAGACAAAACCTCTATCATCATCGCATTTCGGATTTTAGATTCTTCATCGATCTCGCGGAACCACTCGCAGTATCAATAATTCATGGCAATTCGTTTACATACTCAGACGCAAAAAGATTAAGGTTTAAAGCTTACCTCAGAGACTCATCTCAATTGTTGTTGAAACGAAATCGTTACGAATTGTAGAAGGATACCAAAGGGTAATCCGCATAAGGTACAAATTCCTCTTCTAATTTCTCTAATTCTGGTTGTTGTTGTTGTTGATACAGATGGATTATTGTTGTGGATGTTGTGCGAACAGGATGCTTGAGTTGTTGACAGAGTTGGTGTTCGGAGCTTGTTGTATTTGGAGACCTCAACTTCATACAAACTACAATAGAACATGCCATCTTCACTGGTTTGCTATGCTGGAAAGTACATTCAACTTGAAGCTGTTGAGTTGGTAGAGAGAAAGAACTGGAGTGAAGCGATTCATGCTAGAAACCGTGTATTGGACGTATTGCAAAACATGACAGGGTTGGCGAAAATTGATGGTTAGCAAGTTGTTGGGCTAGGCGTTTTGTGATGATGGAGAAGGACGGTAATGGCGGTAAGAGGTTGAGAGCGTTCTTTTGACAGAGAGTGAAGTTCCGTGACCGGAAGTGGGTTTCGGTGGTTGGAACTGTTGTTGCGCATTTGCATTTGGAACTGTTGTTGTGATGGAAATCGGTGAGTGAAGCATAAAATTTATAGGATGTCACTGAAACATTTTTTTTTAAAAGGTGAGTTGAAAGAATTTGAAATAATTTTTTCTGATAATGAATTTGTTTCTCTGTATTCTTGTGTGTGATGCCTACCTCCTTTTCTACTGAAATGAATTCTTGATTTATAGAAGAAGAATGATGAAATTTGAACAGATTTAGTGTCTAGACATAAACCTTTCTTTATGCAATTTTGATTTAACCATCTTTATGCAATTGTTGGACTGATGTGGTGCATATTTGGATAGTTTGACAGTAAGGTTTTGGAGCAAGTTGGGATCTGATTTTGCAGGGCAACAGTGCAGTTTTTTGGAGTGTTGTGTTTGTTTTATCGCTGCAAGGATTGTGGACAAGGAAAGGTCATAATTTGACTGTTTTTTTGGCACTTATGCAGGGGACTAGAAATTGGGCAGCTTTGGTACAAGGCAAAGGTTGGAAGCAAATTGAGTACGGAGTGAGATTCCAAGACATAAGGGCGTGAAAAATAATTGTATCATGAAGATAACAAGAAGTTGGATTTTTCTTTGACTTTAGAAACTTAGGAATTTCATGTGACACTTTGTATTTGGATCTTGTAATGAGCTTGAAAATATTGAAGAAACAAGGCTTTTTTCTAATTTTCACTTTGAAATTCCAAGCATTCTCTTTGATTTTATAATGAACAATGAATTCTGATACTTGTATCTTGAAGCTAGAATAACGATTAATGTCTTTGAAAACTTGAATTAATTTGAATTTAATGACATTTTATGGGCAAATCTTCAATTCATGGTAACTCGCAATACAAGCCCATAGTACTTGAGAGAACAATAATGCCTTGAGAACTTTGGTCAAAAATCCAACTTTAATCCAATAATCAATAATGCTCGAACACAAGTGACTTGAATTATAAGCAAAGGTCAATCAATGAATTTTGCATCTCAACCTCTTGATCCATGAGTGATCTCAACATAAGAATCAATGTCTTGAGGAAATGACTATGGCATGAATTGAAACTGAAGGTTAAGAACGATTCTAAGTCAAGAAATGACCTATAACGATTCAATAACTTTCAAGGTCTTCTAAGCATAATTTTCCCTCAATCCTTGAAGAAAACTTGTAGATGACATCATTTGTGACAGTGTGCAAAAATAATCGTCTCAAAAATGTAGAAAATTGAGGAAGTTACAACCTTCTGAACTTGATCTTGGAAAAGTTTACTTTTGGTTAAAGTTCTTTGAATCAACTTGCAAACTTGATCCTTCCTTGAATTACAAGACATATTGATGCACACGTGAACCAGTGATGATGAAATGTTTATTGTGCTTTTGATATTATAGTCCAAGCTTATATGAAGTAGCCTTTGAGAATCGGTTATTCACCATATTTAACACTTGATGGATCCAAAAACCTAACTGAGGCACAACACCTAATGCTCTTGATTCAAACCTATCTTTTTCATGAAACCAAAGAAACATGAACATACACCTTTGTATGCGATTAGAAATTAGTGATACATAGGCTAAAAATGTTCAAAACACTCGACAATCTTCGCATAGTCAAAGCTTGAAGGTGAGAGGTTAAAATCGACCGTATTTCGTGACCTTGACTTATCTTTAAAAATGCAAAAAATAAAAAAAATGGGATCTTAGGTCAAAAATTGGGGTACAACAGCTGCCCCTATTTAAGTTTCTTCTATCTGGAGATATGAAGATTGGGATCTTCATTTCGACGAGATTGAAGGGACTTAAATATAGAATACACAATTTTTAGCGTTAAGATACCGCGATTATGTTCATGATATGATATGAATGTAATGCTCTGAATTTTATGGGGAATGACGCCATACGAGACAGACTATGCTGGAGAAACCAAGCGCATTACACAGTAATCCTACAGAGGAAGAGGTTGTAACTCCACTGGGGAAACAGAGTCATAGACTTCAAATGAAAGACTCTTGAATGATTTACATCAGTGTTGAGACTGGAAAAGAAATGATTTACATCAGTACGAAGACTGGAAAAAGAAATGATTTACATCAGCGCTGAGACTGGAAAAGAAATGATTTACATCAGTACGAAGACTGGAAAAAGAAATGATGGACATCAGTACTGAGATTGGAAAATGATTGACATCAACACTGTGGCTGGAAACTAAAATGATTGACATCAGCACTGTGGCTGGAAATAATGAATGATTCAACCTACAATTTCACATATATTAAAAAAATATTTAAAAAATAAGAGAAAATAATGTTTTTATTATAGTATCCCTAATCATGTATTGAGAATGATGAAAGTTTAAGTAATTAGAGAAAAAAATTAAAAAATATATATTAAAAATTGAAATAAATCATTAATTTTGAGACACTATTTTATTCTAAACGGTTATTATATATTATATAACATAGGTGAGGAAGTATGATAAAAAAACAAGTGGAAAATGAAAATAGTGGTACAGGGGATCGCAAAAAGATGTCCACATCACTACTCAAATTTTTAAAGTACCGGTCTCACATTTTTAGTGTGTGCAGTGCACATCATGATAGTCATTTGCACACATGTTACAATATTTTCTCTTATGCTAGTATTTTATTCCATCTGTTTTAAAAAGCTTAAGAGTGGTATCTAAAGTTTTTACACATAGATTAAGAAATCCAATTATATTATTATAAAACATTAAATTTTTATTAAATTAATCATATTATTTTATTGAAAGTAATGTGCAGAATAATAATTATAGAACGTAATTGAAAAAATAACTATCATAATAGATAGAAAATCAGAAAATTCATTTTAGAACAGTTTTTTTCCTCACATTCATTTTAAAACAGGTAGTATATAAAATAATCAACTCTATTTATCATTTATACACGTGGTTATAATTTATCTATGTCAACAGGTTTTTGGCACCAAACACCACCATGGGCATGGTCACATTATTCAATTGTGGCATCATGCTAGATGTCACGTTGATCAAAACCGAATGGGTGGAAAGAAAAGAAGCTTCAGCTCCTTGGAGAAAGGTGATGAACAATTGATTTCTGACATATCCCATGACGTCCTCTTATTTTAATCCATTTTCATTTTTGCTTCTATTCTATTAGTATTATTTATCATATCTACCCAATTTTCACCCCATATATATCTAGTCACAATTTCACAAATTAACATCAGAACTAAAATTAATAATATATCATATCTTTTCTGCTTATCAACCTGTGAATATTCATTCATCTGAACTCTAAATAGTTAGAAACTTAGAACAATGTTTCAACTTGAAGACCTTCTTCCATATCTCTTACCCATTCTCTTGTTAATCCTTCCCATACTACTCTTCTTCTCAACAAAACCAAACAAGAAACAAAAACCACTTTCTTCATCTTCAATCAACAACAACATCACCATCCCAAAATCATACCCTCTTATTGGTTCCTACTTATCTTTCAAAAAAAACCTACACCGCCGTATCCAATGGCTCTCCGACATCGTCCGAATCTCCCCCTCCGCCACTTTCCAGCTCAACGGCACCTTAGGCAAACGCCAAATCATCACCGGAAACCCATCCACAGTCCAACACATTCTTAAAAACCAATTCTCCAACTACCAAAAAGGCACATCCTTCACAAACACCCTCTCCGATTTCCTAGGAACCGGAATCTTCAACACCGACGGCCAAAACTGGAAGTTTCAAAGACAAGTCGCAAGCCACGAATTCAACACCAAATCAATCCGTAACTTCGTTGAACACATAGTCGACACTGAACTCACCAACCGTTTAATCCCAATCCTCACTTCATCAACCCAAACAAACAATATCCTCGACTTTCAAGACATCCTCCAACGTTTCACTTTCGACAACATCTGCAACATCGCTTTTGGTTACGACCCAGAGTATCTAACACCCTCAACCAACAGATCGAAATTCGCAGAAGCATACCAAGACGCAACGGAAATAAGCAGTAAACGTTTCCGTTTACCGTTACCAATCATATGGAAAATAAAAAAATACTTCAACATAGGTTCGGAGAAGCGTCTCAAAGAAGCAGTAACAGAAGTACGAGGTTTCGCGAAAAAACTAGTACGAGAAAAGAAACGAGAACTAGAAGAGAAATCATCGCTTGAAACAGAAGATATGTTATCACGGTTCTTAAGTTCGGGCCATTCAGATGAAGATTTTGTTGCTGATATTGTAATAAGTTTTATTTTAGCAGGTAAAGATACAACTTCAGCTGCATTAACGTGGTTTTTCTGGCTGTTATGGAAGAATCCGCGCGTTGAGGAAGAGATTGTGAAGGAAGTGAATGAGAAATCTAAGTCATTGGTTTATGATGAAGTGAAGGAAATGGTTTATACTCACGCGGCATTGAGCGAGAGTATGAGATTGTATCCGCCTGTACCGATGGATAGTAAGGAGGCGATAAATGACGATGTTTTGCCCGACGGGAGGCTTGTGAAGAAAGGGACAATTGTGACTTATCATGTTTATGCAATGGGGAGGATGAAGAGCTTGTGGGGTGATGATTGGGCTGAGTTTAGGCCGGAGAGGTGGTTGGAGAAAGATGAGGTGAATGGGAAGTGGGTTTTTGTGGGGAGAGATTCGTATTCTTATCCGGTTTTTCAGGCTGGGCCTAGGATTTGTTTGGGGAAGGAAATGGCTTTTATGCAAATGAAGAGGATTGTTGCGGGGATTGTTGGAAAGTTTAAGGTTGTTCCTGAGGCGCATTTGGCTGAAGAACCCGGGTTTATTTCTTTTTTGAGTTCCCAAATGGAAGGTGGGTTTCCTGTCACGATTCAGAAGAGGGATTCTTGATTAATTCATGAGAGCATTCACATTAGTTATTACTAATTGGTTATATGTTTTGTTTGTCTGTCTGTTATCCTTGTTCGATGTTGCTTAAGTGATATGTATAATGTAGTTTCTTATTTAGTAAGTTTTATTTATGGTTAACACTTCAGTTGAAGTTTGATCTTATTCCTCAAACATCATAGTACTTTGAGTTCAGGGAATTTGAAAAGTTTCGATGGTTTAAACAGACAAGTTCTTGAAGTTGTATATAGGGTCGCTGTTGGGTTCCTGATGAAGAATATCTCAAATAAAGTTTTGGGTATGAGAAGTTTTATTTTGGTGGTAGGACCGGATAATGTCTATAACACTGCTAGGTTGATCAGAAGTAAGAATGATTTTGTGCCTGATGTAAATATGACTTGGGTGTTTCCAATTAAGGGTTGATATAAGGATCTGGTTAGGTTGCATTTCTGTGATATTGCTAGCAATTCAGGTGGTTTGCTATATTTCAATCAAATGTATATGTGGATGGTTATTTGTCTCTTGAAGCGATATACCACCCGAATATATATCCTTACAAGACAAGCAACTTTCTAACAACTTTTATAAATTTATTGCGTAACAAAATTTTAACCACTAACCAACTTGTTACTTATTTCCTAAGAAACATTAAATTGACACTTTGAATTACACTTTCAACACATCACTTAATCCATTGTGTCTATAGACTCTACACTAATCACCTTTTGAACAAATCAACTTGCACAATTTTAGTCATGATGTCGGCTATTTGATTTTTACTTCTATAATGTTTCAAGCATAGCTCTCTATTTGTTACTTGTTTTATAAGATAGTGCAGTCTCATTTCAATGTGTTCGCTCATTCCATATACTATTGGGTTCTCGACCAAGTTGATAGCATACATGTTATCGACTCTCATAGTCATTGCTCCATGATTCTTGCCTTCAATCTCATCAATTAGATTCACCATTCATGTTGCTTGACATGCACACAGAGAAGCAACTATATATTCTGCTTCACATGATGATAATGCTACAACTTGTTCTTTTCTTGAGCTCCAAGCAACTGGTGCACCCCCTAACTTGAACACATAATCACTTGTAGATATTTTATCATCAGCATCGCCACACCAACTTGAGTTTATGTGTCCAATAAGTCTGCATTCCTTTCCTTCATCTTCTGCAGGAAACTAAATTTCATAATCTAGTGTTCCTTTAAGATACCTTAGTATCCTCTTGGCGGCTGCAAGATGTGACAAATTTGACTTCTGCATAAATCTACTCAACATGCCTACAATGTAAGTTAGATTAGGCCTTGTGTGACAAAGATATCTCAAAGATCCAATAAGTCTTCTATACTCTGTTGGATCAACATCACATTCATTTGAATCTTGTGTCAAATACAATTTTAGTTTAGCTGGTGTTAATGCAGAATTACAATTTTCCATCTCAAATCTCCTTAGCATCTCCCTAACATATCTTCTTTGGTGCATCATCAAACCTCTACCACACTTATAGAAATCAATTCCAAGGAAGTATGAGATGTTACCAAGATCAGACATCTCAAACTCCTTGCTCAAGTTAACTTTGAAATCTTCAATCTTCTTCTTACAACTACCTGTTATTAGAAGATCATCTACATAGAGATAAAGTATTAGTAGACCATCTTTGTTTCTCCTGACATACACACCATGCTCAATTATACATTTCACAAATTCATTTTCTCTTAGAAAATCATCAATCATCTTATTCCAAGCTCTTAGAGCTTGTTTCAGCCCATATAATGCTTTATGCAGTTTATACACCTGACTTTCTTGGCCTTCCTTCTTAAAACCAACTGATCGTGACACATAAACTTCTTAATATAAATGGGAACTCAGAAATGTATATTTCACATCCATTTGACACATTTACCAGTTGTTCATGTTTGCCAAACCAACAACTAACCATATTGCTTAAATCCTGGCAACTGGTGCAAACACTTCATCAAAGTTGATTCTTTCTGTTTGAAGAAATTCTTTAGCCATAAGTCTTGCTTTGTGCCTGTTCATTTCTACTTTGGGATTTATTTTTAGCTTGTATTCCCACATCACATCAATTTCTTTCTTTCCTTGTGGAAATTTAACTAGTGACTAAGTTTTGTTGACTTCGACGAACTTTAGCTCCTTCAACATATCACTCATCTAATTTGAATCCTTTAGTGTTTCACCTACATTGACAGGTTTATTGTCTGCATTGAAAGCATAATGTATCAACTCACCTTCATCATTATCCACATCATTTGATGTGATCACACAATATTGCAACTTTGTGAGCATGTCTCTTGTCCTTTGAGGTCTTCTCGTGACTACTTGAACCCTGCTACCTTATGATTGAATCTCCTAGTCAGCTTCACTACTTGTTTCATCATACAAAATTATCAATGAATACTTATTTACATTGCCATTTTAATCCCATTCTTTCAGTTCATCAATGATCATATCTCTGTTGATCATAATCTATCTGCTCTCAAGATCAAACAACTTGTAGCCCCCAATTGAATGACATCATATATAGACCATTTGGCTTGACTTGTCATCAAGGTTTCTTCTGATTTGATCAGGCACATTTCTATGTGCAATAGATCTAAATATCTTTAAGTGGCTTAGACTTGGCATGGCACCAGACTAACATTCTTTTGGTGTGGTTCCTTCTAGCCTTTTGGTTGAACATTTATTCAAGATATGCGGAAATGGACACAACTTCACCCCATATCTCATTAGGTAGATGCTTGCCTCTCAACATTCTCCTCACCATGTTCATGATGGTTTTGTTCTTTCTTTCCGCAGTCCAATTTTGTTGATAAGTCTATGGTGACACTATTTGGAATCAAACCGCATTGACTAGTAATCTTATACTGGTTGATGAGCCAAGTGGTCTGCCAGTATGCTTCCTTTGATAACTTTTTGTATGATATATTGAATGTCATACTCAGATAATAACATTTTCCAATGAGTAATGCTCCTAGTTAGGGAAGGCTTCTCGAAAATGTATTTGATTAGATCCATCTTTGATATTTACCATGGTGTATGGAATATCACATATTTTCTTAGGCATCATGTGGCCCATGCCAATGCACAAAAGTTTTTTTCTAGCACTAAGTATCTAGTTTCATAATCAGTAAGTTTCCTGGGTAGTAGAAAACATGCTCTTTTCTGCCATTCTCATTGCATTATCCCAACACACATTCCATTGACCCATCAATCACTAACAAGTACATTATGAGTGGTTTAACTGGGATAGGTGGTATCAGGATAGACGGATCTTACAAGTATTGCTTGATATTTTCAAATTCCCCTTGGCAGTCACCATTCCATTTGATGCCCTAATTTTTTGAAGCAATTTGAAAATAGGCTCATAGGTGGATGTCAAGTGAGAGATGAACATAGAGATATAACCTAATCTTATTAGGAAACCATTGACCTTTTTCTCAGTACAAGAAGCATGCATATCTTATATAGCTCTGACTTTTTCATGATCAACCTCAATCCCTTATTGGCTGATGATGAATCCTACTACCTTTCCAGATTGGACACCAAAGGTACACTTGGCAGAGTTCAGTCGTAATATGAACTTTCGTAAGCACACAAAAAATTTCTATAGGAGAACCATGTGATCTTATTCGGTTTGAGATTTGGAAATCATGTCATTGACATACACCTCAATCTCTTTGTGAATCATGTCATGGAAAAGAGCCAATATTGCCCTTTGGTAAGTTTCCCCAACGTTCTTTAGGCCGAAAGACATTACCTTTTAGTAGAATGTTCCTCATGAGGTGATAAATGTATTTTTTTCATGTCTTCAGAAGCTATCTGGATCTGGTTATAACCCGAGAATCCATTCATGAAAGAAAACACTAAAAATTTAGATGTGTTGTCTATCATCACATCAATGTGTGGTAAGGGAAAATCGTCTTTAGGACTAACCTTGTTCAAATCATTGTAGTCAATATACATGTGCACCTTTCCACACTTCTTTGGGACTGGTACAATATTGGCGACCCATTGTGGGTACTCTTCTATAACTAAGAATCTAGCGTCGAACTACCTCTTAACTTCTATAATCTTGAGTCAGATAGTTCTTCTCATTTTTTACTTTATAAGAGGGTATTGAGGTAAAAGTGGTAACTTATTCCCAACTATGTTTGTGTCTAAACTTGGCATATCTTGGTATGATCATTCAAACACATCTGCATATTCTCGCAAGAGTTTAACCAACCTTTCTCGTATATTTTCTTCCAGAGATACTCTAATCTTGACCTCGTTTCTCTCGTACTTTGTTCCTAAATTGATTACTTCAATTGCCTCTTGGTGTGGTTGTATCATTATAGACTCGTGCTCACTAGTCATGTTAATTCTTCGGGAAAATTTTAACCATCCTCACAATGTTCTTCAACATGATTAATGGGGAGTTCAAAGTTATGACAAATTATCGTGATGTTGTTTTCAATGGATTCATTTATGGATATTCATGATTTAATGATGATTTATTTTTAGAAAAATAAATAAAATGAAGAAGAAAAAAAACGAAAAAAACATTTAAAGATATTTCCATTTTCTTAAAACAGTAAAATGAAAAGAGGATTGAGATGACAAAATACTTTTTATTAATGGTGATTAAAATATTTGAGAATAATGGGTGCCCTACAAATGTTCCTTAAGCCCTGCGCAGAGCAAAAGGATTTGAAAAACCAACAAATTTCTTTGATATTAGAAAGATCTCAGGGATTTCAATGGCCTTCCAATTATCAAGAGTTGTATTTGGAGCACAATGATACACAAAGAATGGTGTATCTTCCTCTGTTATGGCATCTTTAACAACATCTATTTGATTATCATGGATGAATCCATTGATATGTAAAACTACTTGGATGCTTTGGATGCGTGTCTTCTTAGGAATCTGGGCTCCCTTCTCCATGGATGGCACATACCCCAATTTATAGGGATCTCTTTTCTCTAGTAGGTT